TGCAAAGCAGTCACATTACATAAAATTAAACCTTATCATTATGCAGAAACAGCTATTTATAGTGATAATTGCAGTGAAAGAAATATTTAACATTAGTCTCCTTCAAACTCTCAACACTTCAAAATCTACAAGATAAGGATAATTGCTAGAGAGTATCGATGAAAGAAAGTTGAAACTCAGCATCTTCCTTTAGAAAGCTCCTACTTTGCACTGCTGCATTTTCTCCTAAGATTTCATGAACAGAAGCATTATTCAGGATTCAGCACCACACATGCCAGGGAACCATCATGTAAATAATGGAACAAAAATAAATGGTATTTTATCCCTGCAATTATTCATCCAAAAGCAACTGCTCCACATAGCTTGAGGATATAAATATGATGTTTCACAACAGGACCTGACTTTCATTTGAGCTCCCTGGTTGCTACCATAAAATAAGCTAATATGGTAGTAATTACACACCATGTACTTTAATAGCAGTATATTCCCTGCCATTTGGGACAGGAAGGTAATGCTAGCGAAGGATAATTTTGTACTGATACAAGCAGGAGATTTTCATTCTAAGCTCGGATGAAAAAGAAAAAAAAAAAGCTAATTCCATAAAACTATTTCTATTTTTAAGTTAGTCTGCTGAGCCAGCAAAAAATGTTGGCAACACGAAGTACTGTCTTTGCCCAGAAAGTCCCTCTGAAAAGGTCAGTTTTACAAACCACCAGGTAGCAATATCAGATATGCATCTTTCCATGGTTAATAAAATCCCATTTAAAAGAAAAAAAAAATCCCCAAAAGCAAAGCAAAGTCTTGCAGCTTCGCCAGGGCCGTCCCAGGACGGCGCTCAGCGCAGCACTCGAAGCACAAGCCGCGTTTGACTTGGGTGTCTCTTGGAAGCGGCTCCGCACCGCGGCCGCTCCAGGCTGCCCCTTCCCGAGCCGAGGGGAAACGCGCTGGCAGGCACAACGCGTCTGGAAGGAAGGGAAGAGCGCTGTCTCAACGGCGAGCAGGATTCCCTGAAACACAGCGCTGAACACGATATCGCCAATCTTGAAAAAATACAGCACTAAATCGATGCCACAAAGCAAGCGCTGTGCTTCAGCTGGAGCAAGCCTCTCTGCACAAGCACTCTCACAAAAGGCGCTTGTTCCTCACTCAAAGATCACTCTTTTTAGGAATACTTTCTTTATCACTGGCTCTCCTTACAGAAACCTGCTATACAATTCCATTTGACTAGGCTGCCCAAGGTGGGGGGGGTGGGGGTGGAAATACCACTATTAAAAGTTGAAGCAGACACAAAAACACAAAAACCACCACAAAAGCTAAAAAGCTAAAAAGCTAAAAATTCTACATGCTGTTTTCCACTTCATATAGACTGTTTGTGAATCATTAAAGTTGTTGACAATTAACTTCAAAGCTATTAGAGTAGTCGTGAGGCATAAATCTATTCCGAGTATGCACATAAACTCAATTTTGGTAAACCTTAACGCACATAAAATATTCGATAGAAACTTATTTCAAAACATTATTAAAGTATGTAGCATGTACTAGAAACCTGTAACACATTTCTTGCTCACATGATTATACTGAATTTACAATGCAGGAGTAAAATACAGAAATTAACCTTATTCCAAAGGCTGAAAATAACCTGACACATACTCAGGCATGATGGTTCCAACTCTCTCCTTTTAATCAATGGATTTAAATCAAGTCTAGGCTTGTAAACTAATTTGAGCATGCCTGTAAATTGCAACAGCTTTGGTTTTCTTAATAGCCTTCTCATCTCTTGTCATCTGGTTATCACTCTCAGCAGAGTATTAAATGCTGTTTTCAAAAGAAAAAAAAAAAAGAGACCTGTAACATAGACCCTAAAAATAAAGATTTGGACTGTAAAATACATTTAAACAAATACCTAGTTATCTATGTAAATTACGTAAAATTTTCAAAGACATGCATCCAAATAAAGCCACAGAATTAAATTTCAATTAAAAAAAAACACTATAGAGTTGCAAAAATCTTCAGAAAAGGTCTTGGGGTCAACCACCAAGAAAAAGGAGGTCTGCAAAGCACCACCCTTATCAGCTGCCATCACTCACGTATCATTATCAGCATTGATATTCTGCTAATATATTGCCAGCAGGCATTAGAGGGGGCCACGGCCCGTGGACAAGAAAGGCTACGTGCTGCACGGCTTGGCGGGCTCTGCAGTGCTCTGGGGGCAGGAAAACCGGAGCGGTTGAGCACACTGAGGCCTCAACTGCCACCACACCGTGACGAGTACTGCTCTGAAACCAACCGCAGTCCTGTCCGCCTCGGGTAACATGAAGCATTTTAGAGGGTTTCCTTCTTGTGTCGAGAGACAAAAAGACCCTTTAACAAAACATCCCACAATACAGCTCTCAAACATTTTCAGCCTGCTCTGCAACTGAAGCATCCCACCTTGGGTGCCTATCGAGTTGCGCACTGCGAGGCTCTAGCCGTACAAAGCACTGCAAATGACACTAATTTCCCTTTTCTTGCATGACTCGATCATGCAATTATGCAAAATCATCATACACTGTGTAGCTGTTGTTCTTCTAAGACACTTTAGTTCTCCCATGAATAATTCCAAAGTGGAAACACTTTTCATCACACATCTGCACCTCTATTATTTTTACTCGAGCTTCAGCAACACATTTCTTCTGGAGAAAACAGAGCGATTGTGGGAGATGGTTGTGCAGTAACTCCGCACAACTTTCCTAATGAAATGGAATTGCTCTGTCTTTCACGGGATTGATGAAGAGTTTCTGAAGCCCAGCTGCAGCAAGCTGACAGTAATAAATTTTCCATACACTGCAAGCTCAGTATCGGCCTATTTCATGACTGTTACTAAATATGTGAAAGCTGGAGGCAAAGCCTGCAATTTTACAGCTCAATACTTGCTTCTTTCCTCATTTCCTCTAACAAAGGTATTAGTGTAAGGCCAAATAAGAATAGCACTCCCTAGAGATGCCTGCTGTGAGACGCGTCACAGTATTTCTTGAAAAAATTTAAAAACAATAGCTCAAGGGCAAGTTTTTCCATCAGAAATCAAGTTATTTTAAGAGAGTCAATATTTATAATAAGTGCCACAGTACAACAGATGAATTGAATTATTGAACTTTCAAACAAGAAGTACAACACTGGAAGTTCAGAATGCCTACCAAAATTTCATTTCTGCAAATACACAAAGGAGTTTTCTTTCTTGCTGTACCATGCAAATACATCTTTATGTTAACTTAATGTAGATGTCATGTGCACAAAAGTAAAACTGTAAAAAGACAAATCTGTTTTTTTTTTCCATTTTAGAAAATTCAAATCAAATTCAAATAGTTAACTTGTATAAGGCCATGATCTTGACTGCATTAGCCACATTTTCTTTTCCTTTTCTGATCTAACTATGTTTATAATGTTTCTACAGGCATATATTAATACCATAATATCTAAGTACTTTAGACTTATACTTGTATGAAAGGATAATGGCGTAGTTCCTCTTTTACCTATATATCTCAATATTACCAGGAACTATTGTTTTCTGATAATCATAATCAAGTGAAAGCTTTTATTCTGCATACTTACCAATTTCAAAATCAACTACCTCATACTATTGGAAACTCATAACATTGAAAAAGATGTTCCGGCAACTGCGCCCCACCAAAGTAGTAAGTGTATTTATACACCTTGTATTTCAGTTACAGTAGTTATAGATATAAAGGTGTCAGAAGCCTGCTCTATTAAAGAGAAAAAAAAAAAAACACAGAAGGAATTCTGAAGACATGACAAGATTTCTGCCTATCACAACAGACAGCCAAAATTCACAGGAACAACAGCGCTAAATCTACAAATCTAAGCAGTGGAAGGAATTTTGTGTTGATATAAGTGTCACAGAAGAAAGAGAAGTGTGGATTAAAGGACAAGGTCCTAACAAAAATAAAATTTACAACCTTAAGTGAGGAGTTTGCATGGATAATGTAAAACAGAATTTGCAAATGAGTGCTTTGAATCAGATAATCAAAAGAATTCTTTTTTGCATACTCCTGAAAGGAACAGGTTGAAGTTCATCATGGGCTTGAATGTGGTTTATCCTGGGTCCCTAAACAGGGATTTTAAAAAAGGCTGAAATGCTGGAAACCTTTTGCTAGGAAAGTTGCAACATTCTCAGATCTATAAATAAGACCGCATGTGCCTCCTGTACACACCACAGATGGGGAGACATCACACTCTGTATCTATTCCTACAAGTTTAGTTCAAAGTATTTGATTCCAAGGTGGAAGAAGATGCTATACCTGATTTTCTTTTCTTTAGTATATGCATAGTCTTTCAACGTGGCAAACACATGAACCTATTCTCATTCCTTAATGGCGACTGCACCGGCAATGAAAACAAGCAATATTTGAAAATTGTAGCTTTCAAAGAAGTCAAAATTTAGATGCAAGGAACAAATATTAAGGTAAATAAAGCTGTCCTAACTCCACACATGCACAGGCATTGTAGGCAGAGTACTAGCTCTGTTTCAGCACTCTATAGGCAGAGTACTGCAGTGCATGAAAAGGTTTTAATGTTTGTTTGGATCCATGCAACAACATATTCTACTGAAGTTAAAGCAGATAAGCCATAATCTGTTATAAAGGAAAATCTGAGTACCATGTGGGTGATAAAAGCTAATGCTCTCCTTTTTAAGAAAGTGGGCATAGAGGAAAATGACCATCTATTACAGTATTCCTATCATTATGACAAACACTCCGATGAAACTTCATTTGAACAAGATTAAAATCAAAATGCAGTACTACTTTGGTAGATGACCTTTTGTAAACAGCGGAATGTGATCGAATCCAAGCACGGTTTTTGGCCATAGAGGCAAAACCAGACAGTCATGACATGCTAAGAACAGCAAAATGGTAATAGAGCCATAGTGCGAGATGATGACATATGGAAATAAGGCATAGTACAATTTCAGAGCTGATTTTTATTGTAGGAATAAAAACACTCACCTTGAAAAGACTGTTTGGCTCTATCCACCAGCTCTTCAATGGGATAACTTGCTAGATCTCCTCTGGCATGCTTGGTTTTGCAGTAGGTACAGGCATTGAGACATCTATTTGGAAATTGAAAACACTTTGATTTCTACTCAAGAAAAACTTAACATGCACAGCTATACTCATTAAATACATTTGGAAAAATGAACTTTTATATTTATGACAGAAACACAGAATTATTTCATTTTTAAATCAGTATACTACTTAAAATTGCTCTGTAGCGCATTTTGCCCTCCTCCCTTCCTAAAGTATCCTTCATGTCTACACACATGTTGAAATGAGTTAATTTTTCCTTCCCTCATTTGGCTGTATAAGCAAAATAAACAATGAATACTTTCAATTTACCTGACAGTGTAGTAAAGACAGATTTGTTCAATATAAGAGGACGGAAAGAGAAAAAAGAAAAAGAAGGAAGGAAAAAAGATATATGCCACTAAGTGCAAGCTTTTCCTGAACTCATCTTCGGATCATGGCTGTGCTATGAATGCAATAAGCAAAATTTCCAAGCCAGCCTTTCCCCCTCCTCCTTCTACCTCCTTAAAGCTCGTATTGCCCTAAACCATTTTCATTTTCACCATCAAAAAGATACAGTTTCAATATAATAAGGTGGCTGGGTGTCAGAAAAGGGTTAAAGCTCAAACTACGGCAGTATTATTACAGACATTTTAAAACAAAAATGAAAAGGCATTATGCCCTATGGTTTCTGAAGTCACCAGTTAACAAGACCGCCTCTACTGGCTGAACATAAGGTCTTATCTTCTTTTACCACCCCCGGCAGCTCCATGATGATGTAATTACTGTTTTGCAACCCCTAAAGGTTTTCCTTCGCAAAAGGCCCCTTCACACATTGCTTGCATCTTGTTGGCACAACTAGTAGCTCCAGGAGGGCAGGACACGGGGCAGACCTCCTGCCCCTACGCATCAGCTTTGCCCTCAAGCGCTCTCCAACTAGCTCTGCCTTCGGTCAGTGCACATCGAGAACACTCCTGAGTCTTCTTGCTAGACTGCACGTCACCAGTATGCTCAGTATTGCCTTATTTATGTAAAACACTGTGCTTGCTTGCCAGAAGAACCCTTTCTTGCAGCAAAAGAACCTGTTTTGGATCATAAAACTGAAAAGATACTGCTTGGCGATAGCAATAAGATTCAGAATTGAAAATAGTTTTAAAAAAGGTTAACAACAACAACAAAAACAATACTCAACCCACACCAAATCTGATCCTTTGCACTCTACTTCAAGGAAGCGATTCCCCACTCAGAGACGCCGTATTCCTCACTTGTCACATCATTTTACATATCTTACTGTTCCTTTACAAAGCAAAAGTCTTTTATAAAGCAACATTTAAAACATATTCAATAGAATAGCATTTGAATAGAGAGCACATAAGCAGTAAGTGGCTTCTGCTAGATCTATTTAACCTATTTAACAACCTGCTAAAATAGTAGCTCTTTCACATAGGCTCACCCTATATGACAGTTGGCCTTCTCTAGCTCTTTTTAGTTTTTTCCAGTTCTGCTTTCACTTAAAGGTAATCTCACATGCATGATAGATGTGTCTGCTCTTCTACAACCAACATGCAGAAGTCTGATGTATGCACTAATAGTTTGATATTTGTATTAATTCTTGTTTTACTCAAGTAAAATCACTTTCCCAGTTATCATATTTATCAAGTCAAGAGCAGATTTACCTCAGAACAACTCTGTCCCATGACAACAACAGTGACTTCTATTTTTGATTTTTAATTATATCCTAAGAAAGCCAGAAAAGTCCCATTTAACATTCTGGGTCTGGTATCGCAAACAGAAGGCTGGCACACTAACCAGACTTTGCTCTCCCCTCCACAGAGCTTTAAAGAAATTTCATATTCCCCATAACTCACTAGCTTTTCCCCTACTATGAAAATAAACAGGTCTTTATTAACACAGACCATTTTATCCACGAGGCCTATTTTTTCCATTTCTTACTGTCTCTTCTCTCTTTAATCCGGTATCTAGAAGCAGAAGAAAAAATCCACTATCTAGCTTTATTTATACGAAGGAAGTCTCTCCTATATCTTCAGAGATGCTTCCTGGGCAAATACTTAGAAATATCCTCTGCAAAATCCTATCTGCGGCCTACTTCTTAATTCTACCCTGGAAAAAACAAATCTTTCGGGCTACAGCTGACTAACACATGCAGATATTAAATACTCCTTGTAAAAATGCTGAACTAATCACTTTTCACAGATTTGGGAACTATCTATCCTTGAAGACATACATTTAAACCAAACCACAAGCAGAATAAAGCATCTGTAGTTTTCTTTCCCCCTTAGCAAGCCGACCTCGCTTCTGCTTTTCCAGCAGACCAAGTTACGGATGCCCAGGCTGCCACACGTGCAGACCCCAGGCAACCAAGTGCCAAACGGCTGTTGGGAACCTGGAGAAAATGATGAAGGGGAATTCATTGCTCTAAAAGCAGCCTGGTGTGTGAATCTCCTCTTAAACGCCAGTCTCCATCACGTCTGAAGATCAAGCACACATGGAACCAAAAAGGCAATATGGCAACACCCATGAAAATGGTGTTTTACTTTGTGTTAAATGGCAGGCCTTCGCATACTTAAAAGTTGGTTTGTAAACACAGATTTGTCTTAACACAGGATAAGGGTGTTAGTGCACAAAGATAATAAAGGCATTAATGGAAACATGGTCATTACTGCTGCAACCACCAACATGTTTTGGATAATTTTTTGGTGATTTTAGAACACAAAACACTAAAGTCTTGTTTTCCAACATACTAAGTTTACTAAAGCCATTTGAATTACTAAACTTTCACTTTGAATTACTAACCCCTCATCAGCTATGTGCCCAACATCCAGAACTACTTCACAGAATAAAATAATATCCATAGATAAAATACTACTATGTGGCTACATGTTACCAAACTGAACACCATCAACATCGAATTACTAACCCCTCATCAGCTATATGCCCAATATACAGAATTATTTCACAGAATTAATATGTGGCTATATGTTACCAAACTGAACACCATCAACATTCTGGTCAACTGCCTGAAATTTCATTGTGGACAGAAAACAGCAGTCTTCACACTGATCAGCAAGAAGGTCCTCAAACAGATCACTGAGACTCTCCATTTTCAAAATAGCAATATTTCCCACAAAATAAACACTTAACATGGAAGGCCAACCCTTACGGATGTACATAATTATGAATAAGAACACTTATGGCGTTGCAGCCAAGTCATTACTTCCCTTCAGTGAGACTCATCAGTGGCCTTCAGCAGCAGAAGAGAATTCGAGTACAGACACTGGGACAAAATCCTGGTTCCTCTTAAATCAATGAGTTGTGCCTCTAACTTAAGCAAAGCAAGACTGGAGAGCGGCATAACTACAACAGTGTCGTATGACACAACGCCCCTGCTGCTCCGCGCGGGATTCATTCGGGGCCAGGGATATTGCCCCCTTCATTTCCTGAGTAACCCAGTGAATTCTTTCTTGGTACCAACCCAATGAGCCAGTAGAAACAGGAACTCACATCTGAGACTACATTTTTTTCCCAAAAACAAATTAGATACTGCAAGAATAAAGTAAAACAATAGTGATCATAAGTTAGTCAAAACAGTTGCTAATGCCTGCCCTTAAGAGATCTGACTGGTTATGTAAATAAAAGATTTTATGAAGCTTGCCTGTTTTTTTTTTCTTTTTTTAAAAAAAAGGACAGCCAGCAGTGCAGCACCCCTGGGACACCCTTCAGTACAAATGCAGAACGACTGAGGCCTGCCTGGAACAAACCCCAGCCCCAACTTGCTGCTTCGACCCTAAGGCCTCCTTAGGCCTCATTAATTATCCATTTCTCCTGCAGTGATTTTTCGCCGTGGGATACTCAGTTTTGCATTCGTATCAATAGCACTACTTTTACAGTTATGCTATGTTTACAGGGTTAAATGTGATGAATATTTAACAGCTAGAAATTCCACTTTGCACTTCCAGAATTCCTAATTCTCATCAGACTTAATGGCAGTGGATGGGGGAAAATAGTAATTATGGAAGAAAAAACAAGTCTAATATTTCTGACCTATCTTCAGGATTCTTTTGTTCTTGAATTTGGCCATTTTATAGTAAAGCTTTTCAATCCACTATGATGGAGATTTTACAGATTTTGGGAGGTTTTTTGTTTTCATGTAAAAAAGATTCAGGAATTCAGGATTTTAAGTACTTTTGAAACAGTGAAAAACTAATTCCCAGTGAAAAACTAATCACTTTCAAGACTAATTAGTCTAACCAACAAACCACATTATTGCAGAAATGTTGTTTCTAGTACCCAGGCTTATTTGGAGGGAGATTGGACATTTCTAGTTGCTGTGCTACACTGATTACCCCGTGTTACAATAATATTTTCCTACTGAGAAAAAAAGATATGTGATGCAAGCAAGGCTTCCCTCAAATTATCTTTGTAGTCAAATATTTTAGAAAATAATCTGAAGTGACAGTATCTCCTTAAAAAACAAAACAAAACCCTGTCCAACATTTTAGAAGAAAAAAAGGATGAATCCTCAAGACACACTATGCATATAAGACTACACACATTATTCTCAAAATTACAATGCAACTGTTGGATGCTGTCTTTGAACTCTATAACCCTTTCTATGCCAAATAAAATGGAACCTGTATGCATTAAAACTTTATTCCTCCAAAGAATTCTGAAGTCAGCATCTTATAATACCTCACCGAAATAACTTGCATTTTGTGAAACTGAATTTCTACGTTCAAGCGCAGGTGATTCAAAGGTCTCATCTACATAGGGATACACATGCAGTTTTCTTATTTTAAGGACAATGATTTAACATTAGCAAAATTAAGTGTAATGTCACTTTATAAGGCTCGTCTAAAGAACTTTCTTGGATAATTGCTTTGTTCACGCATTGTGCAATTGCTTGAATTAAATCATGACGCCCTGTAGGTTGCTATTAAAAAGTAAAACGTTCCATTGCTAAGCTATGAGTGTCCCACCCCATAACAGGGCATTGCTAGACGCTTACTGGAAACTGCAAAGATTTTGT